TTGAGGCGGATGAGTGAATGCTTATAATAGATTGCTTTCGACAGTAAATAATGAATTATACGATGTGCATTTACTTGGATCTGAAAATTTGTTTGTGGGTCGATAACATCGAATCGAAAAGACAACTTTTTCAAAAAATTCAGAAACACATGATTCAGTGTTTTTCGTTGCGTCTCTCACTGTAAAATGCAACAGACAGTTGGAATCTGAAAAAAAAAGCCAAAGGACTCTTGCCAGTTCCAGCAAAAAAATTATTCAAGCATCTCAGTAGACTTTCAGATATATTCAAGAGAATGGTGTGTCCAGTGAAGATGATTATCAGTATTTTGGTAAACGTGAAAAATGGTGTACCAACGGTGGAACAGAACTTGGCAAAGTGTTCGTTCAACGAGTTGTTCGCATTCCACGCAATGAAACCTTAATGATGCACTATCTTGCTGAGGTTGGACCAATGACTGCAGGTGAGCTATCTTATCATATGTGAGCCTTGTTCTATCAAGTGAGTCTTGTCCTACATAATCGTTTAAATGGTTTTCCAAAAGTATCTACTACTGATCACCCATGCGTCTCAACTCCTTAATGAACAGCTTATATTTCAGAAGTGCCTATAATCGAGCCACTTCGACACTATAAAGAAGGTGTATTCCATCCATCAGAGGCGTTGTGCGCTGAAGCACCGAGCCGAACACAAACAATGACTGTTGTAGGATATGGCACCCAAAATAGCAAAAATTATTGGATTCTGAAGAACAGCTGGGGCGAAACGTTCGTTTCATTTACGCATAAATACGATTCCGAGAGGAATTGGTCAAATGAACAATGATTGATACTCACACTCATATTCAATAAATTTTTCATGGATGGTGTTTTCAAAACGTAAAAAATTCACCATCGTTATATTCTGCTCAGAAACAAAATGTTCTCTTTTGACGGAAACGATCAATGATTCACGAATGGAAATCGGAATACTTTCCAGATGGGGTATGAATGGCTACATCTATTACGAACGTGGAGTGGAGTCGTGCGGTATCGAAGAAGGTGACTTATTTGGTGTTGAGGTTCGAAAAGTTCCTGGCGTTGAAGCTGCCAACAAGCGTAGCGATTGTCATGATCATTGCAATTGATCAAATTGATCAAGCAGAATCATTTTTACATCTTATTTGAATCAGTCAATTTCAAATTTGCTATTGCGTTATTGTCACCGTTCATTTTTCTTTCAAATGTNGTGCATATTTTACAGAAACCTTTCTGTTTCACAATAACTTAATAAGTTTGATTCTTTTGTATAAGCACTTAGAGGAGAGTGCTTCAAAAGGAATGTGTATGTTAGTATGCAAATAAACATATGTCATGTGTATTAGTGATAAAGTGTTTCGATTGCATTAATCTTGGTCTTATCTGTCCAGATGTCTACACGAAACACTTTTGGTTCTCTCTTATTCAGGAACTGAACCACAAATCTACCAAAAGCCATCGTTCAAATAGATGCAGATTTCGATATGCTCAGCTTAAATATTTTAATGTTCGCAAAGAATGTCACCTGTTCAATGTGAGGAAGGCGATCACCTGTTGTCAAAAAAAAAAATAGAAACACTGTTGTTGAAGAGATATAGATGGATTTCTGAAGA